GAAGGAGAGAAAGGAGAAGAGACAGGAAGGAAGAGAAGAGAAAGAGAAAAGAAAGAAGAGAGGAGGAAAGAGAGAGAAGAGACAAGGAGAGACAAAAAAGAAAAGAGAAAGAAGAGAGAAGAGAATGGAGAGAAGTGGAAGAAAGAAGAGAAGAGAAAGAGAAAAGAGAGAAAAGAGGAGGAAAGAGAGAAAAGAATGGAGAAGAGGGGAAGGAAGGAGAGAAAGGAGAAGAGACAAGAAAGAAGAGAGGAGGAAAGAGAAAGAAGAGACAAGAAGACCCAAAAAAAACAAAAGAGAAAGAAGACAAGAAAGAAAAGAATGGAGAGAAGAGAGAGAAGCGACGAAGAGGAAGAAGAGCCCCCAGAGCCAAGAAAAGAGAAGCCCCAACCAGAGAAGAGGAAGGAAGATGGAAGCAGACCGAGGCGAAGCGTCTCAGGAATAAAGGCTCAGCCCAGGCCGGGGTTGGGGGTGTGGGGGTGGGCCACCCCGAGGTCATCCCTCCCCTCCCCCCATCCTGCCAGGCCGGCCACTCACCCCGGCCCCCGGGGGCCCCTCGTCGGAGAGGAGGGAGGTGGCCAGGGGCCCCTCGGCCAGGAGGCGCTGGGCCTGGGTGGCCTCTTGCTGGACCTTTTCCTTCAGGTGGCCGATGAAGAGGGAACTCTCGGGCGGCGGCTGCCATCGCGGGTTGGCCAGGGCGAAGTGGACCAGAGAGAGCTCCGTCTTGCCGTCGGCCGCCTGACGGTCGGCGGGGGCCTCCGTCCGGCCTTGGGACAGCCACTGGCGGGGCGGGGAGGGGGAAGAAAAGGAGACATGGGAGAAGGGGAAAGAGACGAGGAGAGGGAGAAAGGAGAAGGGAGAGGAGAGGAGAAAGATGACGGAAACACGAGACGAGAGAGACGAGACGAGAGAGAGAAGGAGAGGAAGAAGGGAAGAGACGAGAAGATTAGAAAGGAGAAAGGAGGGAGTGGGGAGGAGAAAGACGAGAGAAAGAGACGAGAAGAGGAAGAAAGGAGAAGGGAGAGGAGAGGAGAAAGACGAGGGAAAAACGGGGACGAGAGAAGAGAGACGAGACGAGAGAGAGGAGGAAAGGAGAGGAAGAAGGGAAGAGGGAAAAGAAGGGAAAGAGACGAGGAGAGGGAGAAAGGAGAAGGGAGAGGAGAAAGACGAGGGAAAGAAGGGGGAGAGAGAGAGAAGAGAGAGAAGGAAGGAGGGAAGAGAGGAAAGAGGAGAGGAGAAGAGAAAGAAAGAGGCAAGGAAGAAAGAGGAGGGAAAAGCGAAGAGAAAGGAAAGAGGAGAGAGAAGAGGGGAAGAGACGAGAAAAGGAGAGGAGAGAGGAGAGAAGAGCGAAGAGAAAGAAGAGACAAGGAAGAAGAGAGAGAAGACAAAAGAGGAGAAAGAACAGAAAAGAGAAAGAAGAGAAAAGAACAGAGAGAAGAGAAAGAAGATGAGAAAAGGGGAAGGAGAGGATGGAAAGAGAAAGGAGGGAAGAGAAAGCAAGAGAAGAAGAATGGAGAGAAGAGAAAGGAAGGAAGGAAGGAGAAAGAGAAGTAAAGAGAGCTGGATGGGACCTTGGAGGACCTCTAGTCCAGCCCCTTACTCAAACTGGAGACTGTTACCCGATCGTGAAGAAAACAGTCTTGGAGGGGACCTCGGGGGTCATCTAGTCCACTCACCTGGGGGTTGCCATGGTGACGGATGTCCAGCTGGGCAAAAGAGCAGATGTCCCCGACGCCCACCACCTCCACCGAGAAGTTCCGGAAGAAGTCCACGATCTCCAGGGCTTTGGCCCGCAGGGCGAAGATGAGGAGGAACGGGGTCACGATGGGACTGAGTAGCTCCTCCAGGATGAAGACCTGAGGAACACGGAAGGAGGAGAAGATCAGAGGATCATGGAAGGAGGAGATCTGAAGATCATGGAAGAAGATCTGAAGATCATGGAAGAAGATCTGAGGATCATGGAAAGAGGAGAAGATCTGAAGATCATGGAAGAAGATCTGAGGATCATGGAAAGAGGAGAAGATCTGAAGATCATGGAAGAAGATCTGAGGAACATGGAAGGGGGAGAAAATGGGAGGATCATCGAAGGAGGAGAAGATAAGTGGAACATGGAAGGAGAAGATCTGAAGATCATGGAAGAAGATCTGAGGAACATTGAAGGAGGAGAAGATCTGAGGATCATGGAAGGAGGAGAAGACGTGAGGATCATGGGAGGAGAAGAAGATCTGAGGATCATGGAAGAAGATCTGAGGAACATTGAAGGAGAAGATCTGAAGATCATGGAAGAAGATCTGAGGATCATGGAAGGAGAAGATCAGAGGATCATGGAAGAAGACCTGAGGAACATGGACGGAGAAGATCTGAAAATTACGGAAGAAGATCTGAGGAACATAGAAGGAAGAGAAAATCTGAGGATCATGGAAGAAGATCTGAGGAACATGGAAGGACGAGGAGATCGGAGGAAGACGGAGGGAGACGAGGGAAGCCCCAAGCAGTGGGAGGGGAGGTCCCCAAGGTCGCCTACTCACCGCCTTGTACTGGAAGAGCTGGGCCAACTCCTCCCGGGTCTCTGCCTTGTGGGCATTTCCTTGCCAGTGGTCTGGCATGTAGTGGATGTGGGCCAAGACGCACTGGAGTAGCTGCTCCGGGCACCACACCAGGTGCTCGTCTGGGATGAAGGCCCTGCCGACGGGAGAGGAAGCGTCACACACACATACGACGTCGCTCCGTCCTGTCACGCACCCAACGAAGGACTGAGTAAAAATGTCAGACCTCAACAAAGGCCTGAGCAAAAAGTCAGAGCTCAATGAAGGACAGAGTAAAAAGTCAGACCTCAACTGAGGACTGAGTAAAAAGTCGGACCTCAACAAAGGACTGAGTAAAAAGGTCAGACCTCAACAAAACACTGAGTAAAAAGTCAGAGCTCAACAAAGGACTGAGGAAAAAGTCAGACCTCCACTAAGGACTGAGGAAAAAAAATCAGACCTCCACTAAGGACTGAGTAAAAAGGTCAGACCTCAACGAAGGACTGAGGAAAAAGTCAGAGCTCAACAAAGGACGGAGTAAAAAGTCAGAGCTCAACAAAGGACTGAGTAAAAAGGTCAGACCTCAACTGAGGGTCGAGGGGCTTCCTATCACCCGTAGTCGAACGGTCTGGTAGAGCGAACAAACAAAGGAGCTGGAGAAGGAGGGAAAGAGGGAGGGAGGGAGGAAGAGAAGGAGGGATGGGAGGAAGGAAGGAAGGAGATAGGGAGGGTAGGAAGGAGAGAAGGGAGAGAAGGAAAGAACGACGGGAGGAAGAGAGGGAGGGAGGAAGGAAAAAAGGAAGGAAAGAAAGGAACGAGAGGGAGGGAGGAAGGAGAAGGGAGGAGAGGGAGGGAGAAAGGGAAAAAAGAAGGAAGGAAAGAGAGGAGAGAGGGAGGGAAGGAGAAAGGAAGAAAGGGCGGGAGGAAGGAAAAAAAGAAGGATAGAAAGGAACAAGAGGAAGGAGAGAAGAAGGAAAGGAGGGAGGGAGAAGTGAAGGAATTGGAGGAAGGAGATGGGAAAGAAGGAAGGAAGGAGGGAAGAAGAGGGAGGAAGGAAGGAAGGAGGAAGGACGAGAGGGGGGGGAGGAAGGAGAGAGAGAAAGGAACGAGAGGACGGAGAAGGAGGGAAGGAGGGAGGATGGGGAGGGATGGGAGGAAGGGAGGAAGGAAGGAACGACGGGAAGGATGGAAAGACAGGAAGGAAAGAGATCGGGAGGGAAAGCAATACGAAAGGAAGGAAGGAAGGAGAGAGGAAGGACGAGAGGGACGGAGGAAGGAAAAAAGAAGGAAGGAAGGAGAGAAAGGAACGAGAGAATGGACGAGAGGGAGGGAGAAGGAATTGGAGGAACAGACAGGAAAGAAGGAAGGAAGGAGGGAGGGAAGGAGAGGGAGGAAGGAAGGGAGGAGAGAGGGAGGGAAGGAGAAAGGAAGAGAGTGAGGGAGGGAAAAAAGAAGGATAGTAAGGAACGAGAAGAAGGACGAGAGGGAGGTAGGAAGGAGAGGAAGGAAGGAGGGAGGGAGAAGAAGAGGTGGAAGGAGATAGTAAGGAAGGAAGGAAGGAAAGAAGGTAGAAAGGAGGGAGGGAGGGAAAGAAAGAACGACGGGAAGGACGGGAAGATAGGAAGGAAAGAGATTGGAGGGAAAAGCGATACGAAGGGAAGGAAGGGAGGAGAGAGGAAGGACGAGAAAAAGAGAGGAAGGAAAAAAGAAGGAAGGAAAGACAGAAAGGAACGAGAGGAAGGACGAGAGGGAGGGAGAAGAGAAGGTGGAAGGAGATAGGAAAGAAGGAAGGATGGAAGGAAGGAAGGAAGGAAGGAAGAAAGGAAGAAAAGGAAGGAAGGAAGGAAGGAAGGAAGAAATAAAGGAAGGAAGGAGGGCCCTGACCTACAAACCAGCCTTTCTACAAAGAGCCCCTACTACAAAGAGCCCCCTTACTCCGCGAGCTTTTCCGCCCTCCCGGAAAGCTTCACCCCCTTCCTCCAACCGGCCCAGGCTGACAGGCAGCCCCCTGCTTTGGCAGTTCCCGTCCTCTTCCCCCCCGCTCCCTCCCTCCTCACCTGGCCAGCGTGACTACTAGCCCTAGTAACGTGATGGCGGTCAGGATGTGCTGGACGGTGAGGACGTCCTCGTCGTAAACCGTCAGGGCGATGAGGACGGCCAGGACGGAGCCGGCGAAGAAGCCGACGTGACGGGCTACTACGGCGAGCAGCGGGTTGGCGAAGGAGTTGGTGTACTTCGCGGCCGGTTTGTAACCCCGGCTCAGCCGGGTTTGCAACTCGTGGTCCAACTCGTTGAAGTGCCGGAGGTAGAGGCGGCCGTAGAGCGACCAACGCCGGGCGCCGAGGCTGCCGGGCTCCCGCTTGAGCGCCTCGGTGTAGCTAAAGAAGGCGTAGAGGCCCTGCCAGACGAGGATGAAGGGACACAGCAACAAATTGGCTACTCCTAGGAGGAGCAAACTACGTTCCAGACGGCGCGCGAGTTCCAACCGGGCGCCGGCGCGCTTGTATTGCGGCTGGAGGTTCCACTTGCCCTGGAAGAACGAGCCAGGTCCCCAGAAGAGGAGCAACTCCAGGTTGTACTTGAGGCCCTGGGTGAGGAAGACTCCGCGGCCGAGTAGGGGCAGCCGGAAACGGACGGGGAGTAGGGACTTGTTGACTAGGGCCACCAGGTAGTTCTTGAAGCGGAGGATGCGGTGGTGGATGTCCAGCTCGGTCAGCTCCCGGCGGTGGACGCAGAGTTGCTGCTCCCGGTGGAGGGAGATCAGGCGGGCCTGCACCTCCTGCCAGCTGCAGTTGCACAGCTGCGCCTGCGAGGAGGAAAGGAGGGGGTAGCTACTCGCTCGAGGGCCCGTGGGGGATTCGCTATCAAGACAGTTCAGTTTCCGCGGAGGAAAATAAGGGAGGGAGAAAAATAAAAGAAATCTGCTTCCGCCCACCAGCAACTCATCCCAGTTGCAGTTGCACAGAGGAGTGAAGGAGGTGTAGCTACTCGCTCGAGGCCCGTGGGGGATTCGCTAGGAAAACTTTTTAAAATTTCTGCAGAGGAGAATTGTTGGGTATATGAATACTCCAACTGGTTTGGGTGAATGAATATATAAACCTAGGTTTAAGTGTTTGCAGCTTTAAGCACCAAAAACTGCAATGTAATGTGATAATTAAGGGTGCGGTTGCAAGCAGCAGTAATAAGGCAGTGAGAGAGACGTAACCCTTCCTGGTCCCTGGTTCCTGGTTGCTGATTCCTGGTTCCTGGTGTTACTGGTCGCTGGTCTACTGGTCTCTCTGCTATCTGCTGCCTGCTGTTTTACTCCTGTATGAGACGTCTGCTTGTTGGCTACTGTGCCAGATACCATTTCTACTGAACACAAGGACTGTTTACTTGGTGAGCTGAGGATTCAGCGTCGTCTTTGAGAGAAAGGTATCGGGAGGAGAAGATTTACAAGCAGATAAGGACATTGTATTTACTGTTAATGGACTTGATAACTGGATGGATATACTGGATAATGATATATGGACTGAATGACACTTCTTAATCTCTGTGTGAATTAAATAACTATTTTAAAACCACAAACTGTGTTTTTTGTCTCCAGTGTGTGTATACTCTTGGGCCCAGCCTCTCTCTCATTTGGCTGCCTGGCTTGACTGCTGCTGTGCACTCTGCTTGGGGGTTTGTCCCCAAAACACTAACAAGAATAAAGGGAAGGAGAAAAATAAATCAATCCTGCCTCTGCCGACCAGCAACTCCTCCCAGTTGCAGTTGCACAGAGGAGCAAAGGAGGTGTAACTACTTGCTCGAGGGCCCATGGGGGATTCGCTATCTAAACGGTTCAGTTTCCGCGGAGGAAAATAAGGGAGGGAGAAAAATAAAAGAAATCTGCTTCCGCCCGTCATCAAGTCCTCCCAGTTGCAGCTGCACAGAGGAGTAAAGGAGGTGTAACTACTCGCTCGAGGCCCGTGGGGGATTCACTAGGAAAACTTTCCGTGGAGGAAAATAAGGGAGAAAATAAATCAATCCTGCCTCTGCCTACCAGCACCTTCTCCTTTACTACACAGAGGAGTAAAGGAGGTGTAACTACTCGCTCGAGGCCCGTGGGTGTCGCTAGGAAAACTTTTCAGTTGCTAAGGAGGAAAATAAGGGAGAGGAAAAAAATAAATCCGGCCTCCACCTTCCAGCGTCCATCAGAAACCCCTCCACCCCCGCCCCCCAGCAAGCGTCCTTGTCCGGGCGCGAGAGAGCGGAGGGCTGTTTGGGAACCAAAACTGTTTTGCTGGGGGGGGGGAGCAAGGAGGAGACAGCAAGGAGCCTGGGCGGGGCTTAGCTCAAGCCGCTTGCTCCTCTGCTCAGGTTTGGCCTTTCAAGGTTTGGCAGC